CATTCCGGTATTGCTGAATTGCAAGATTTCAGAGGAAGATAATCGCTGAGAGAGTAAAACGATGCCGTATAGCGAGACCGTGATCGAACAAGCGGGCCCTGAAACGACGCTTAACAATGCCGGCGTCAAGATCTTCTACAGAACGTACGGTCATGGTCCTACAAAAGCTCTTCTCATCATAGGTCTCTCTCTCCTTTCTCTGTTGATTTCAATTGGGTTTTCCATTTGAATGCTCAATTTTTCCTCTTTTTTTGTTCAGGTTTGGCCGGAACCCATGAATCGTGGGGACCTCAAATCAAGGGATTGACGGGGACTGATAAACCCAACGACCAAGACGACGACGGAATTCTTTCCGATGATTCAGGAATCGGCGAAGGCGTCGAGGTATGCGCTTTCGATAATCGTGGTATGGGTCGAAGCTCCGTACCTACCCACAAATCTGACTACACGTGAGTCTCCATTTCTGCTTGTGAGGAACCTAGTTTTGTGCTTTCTATCTGATTTTACTTCCATTTTTTGCCAATTGTTTCTTTTGTTAGCTTCATCACTCGATTTGCTTTGGTTTTGGCGCAGAACAACGATAATGGCAAAAGATTCAATTAATTTGTTGGATCATTTGGGATGGAAGAAGGCTCACATTATTGGACATTCTATGGGTAAATTGTTTTGATAATTCCAGCCAAATGATGATTCAAGAAGTATGGTTCTATTAAGATGTCATATTGTTGTTATCTTGATCAACAGGAGCAATGATAGCTTGCAAGTTAGCTGCAATGGTGCCCGAACGGGTTCTTTCTCTGGCGTTGCTTAACGTTACAGGTGGAGGTTTCGAATGTTTCCCCAAGGTACTTGAATGAAACACATGGCGCTATTTCTTGAATCTTCTTCTTTGATACCTATGGCTTTGTTCATATGTATGAATCACTATGTGTACGTTTCTTATATAAAGACAACTATTTGTTGTTTTTTTTGTCATGATATGTCGACAGATAATGTTTCACTTGGATAAGAAAACTAGAAATCTGAATAGAGCCTTTTGTTTTTATGTGCTTCAGCTTGACAGGCAAACCCTTTCCATTGCTATACGTTTTCTAAAGGCAAAGACCCCTGAACAAAGGGCAGCAGTTGATTTGGACACACATTATTCAAAGGTTGGGATTTTCAGTGCGTTCTTCAATGTGATGAAATTATAAGAACAAAAAATTGGTATAGATCAACTGTTAATAGATAGATGATTGGAGTTTGTTTCATTGCAAATTTCATTCTATTTTGGCAAAGTCCGCTGTTGGTTTCTCTTTGCGGTTGGAACGAACGATCAGATCGAATCATTGGTCTTCGAAACTTATGAGCAATTATAAGAGTAACCTATTACGTTCTCATACTGTTTATGTATGCAGGATTACCTAGAAGAAAACATAGGAAGTAATACAAGACGGGCAATCTTATATCAGGTGCGGATACTGGTTTCTACGTTGAGAAACTTAATCGTATGACTAACGATGTTTTAAAGGGAACTAATATTTGAGAGATGCAATGCATTATGCAGCAATATGTAAAAGGAATATCAGAGACTGGAATGCAGTCCAAGTATGGGTTTGATGGCCAACTTAATGCGTGTTGGTTACATAAAATCACGAAACCAGAGATCGAGCGGATCCGGTCGGCTGGATTTCTTGTCTCAGTCATTCATGGAAGGTATGCGACACTAGATGCAATAAGAGACTCAAAATCAACTCGTGCACACTTTCTTTAGTTTGTTGATCTAATATATATATATATTTACCTTTACTCAATAGTTAACTTGAGTATGTGGCGGGTTATATGCAGACATGATGTGATTGCCCAGATATGCTACGCAAGAAGACTAGCGCAGAGGCTGTATCCCGTTGCTAGAATGGTGGATCTTCATGGAGGTCATCTTGTAAGCCACGAGAGAACAGAAGAGGTACTTCTTGTCGTACTTAGCCATGTCTTATCTTCTCTGTCTCTCTTCCGTCTGATGGGATTTAAGAGTTCATCTCTATTGCGTCTTTGTCGTTCCTTAATCTCCTTTCCTCTACAGTAAATGTTTGTCGATATCATACTCAGATAACAGTAACTTAACAGAAAATATATAAGACCGAACCGAAACAGAATCAAACTATTCTGAAAGTAAGAATAAGTTGACTATATGAATTTGATTAAATTATATAATCATATATGGAGAAATGGTTAAGGCAGCTGATTTGGAAGAACGATCGACTGCTGTAGTAACTGAGCAATCATATTGTTATCTACATCCCATTATTAGTTGTAATAACAAACCATAAAGACTTACCAGGCTTCTGAGATCTTGTAGAATAGCATTGATACAATATGGAACAGGGAACAATTTTTTTTTTCCTTTTTGTCGGTATCTCTATTTCCTTAGAACCTGGAAGAAAGGATTAACATACATCATACTCAATTCCAGGTTAATAAAGCTCTCATCGAGTTAATCAAGGCGTCAGAAATGAAGAAAATACCAACTGATTGGACTAACCTCAGCATTGAAAACCCTGGTATAGAAAATACACAACTTTCCATTGTGTTAGACCCTTCTTCTTCTTCTTTGAAGGTTCTTCTGAGACTAACCGTCAATATCCCATAATTTGCTTGCCCTGTTTCGCTTTCTCTCAGGTTATTTCAAGAAGAGATTAGCATTTGTTAGAAGCTCATCAGAAGGCAAGATTGCTGCCTCTTCTGCATCTTTTATACTTGAAATGTTCCAGCGCTTTCTACTTTTCCTCTTCGGGATCCTGGTTTTGGCTTTTGAGCATGCAAGAAGAGCTTTCAGGGTTGTAAAACCCGTCAAAGTCGGGCCTTCTCTGACATAACAACAACCCCCTCACATTTCCATTTGTCGACCAAGTAAGCACATCCCTGCTCCAATAATGTCAAGATAGAACTATAGCAACTAGACTTATCATAAATCCGGCGTCTTTCAGCTTTGGACAGAGTTTTCATACATTCAGGCAAGGATGCAGTTCTTCAATGATCATGCTGATGAAACCTAAGAGCTTAAGGATACTTTTGCTGCAAACAGAAGCTAGAGAAGGAGACACTGCTTTTTTTACATGAAAGAGATAAATATTACAAACTGTTGATATTATATATGTGTAGAGGATCATTACAACGTCACTCCATGACAAACATTTGTTCTACTACCTCGATCGATTTACGAATGTAATAGTTAAAGACAAGACATGGAGATCTCAATTGAGACTTGCATGTTTTTGTGTACCTATAGAACTGTTTCTGAAGTTTCTGCATAGAAATTAGAATTACAAGCTCTATGTACAACTGCCTTAAAGCATTCACTAAAATGATTAAACACATAAGATTTGTTGATACTAGAATAAGGACAACACTAGAAAACAATTGAATGCAACAGAAATCTTGGGTTTTGATTAAACATTCCAGGATTCATGAATCTTAATCATGTTTTTGATGTATCAAAGACATTTATGAAGGTTAGCATCTAGTTACGAAAGAAACAATCTTTATTATAAAATCATGATACATGAATAAACGAGCTAATTCTGAAACAGCTAAAGAGAAAGAAACACAAAGATAAGAAGAGATGAGAAGAGGACTTGCCTGGTAAATTGGTAATGCTTCTGTATGAAACCAAAAGCTTTCTTGAATGATGTTGCGTAGCTGAATTGTTTCATGTGCAGTTCCATAGAAAGAGAGAAGGAAGAGATAGGCAAATGAATGAGTAGAGGAGAGATTCTTGATTTGTGTTCGAAGTAATATTCCTTCATGCAAGATATACTCCTCGAATATACCCCCTTCATATACCTTTGTTTACGGAAAAGGGCATTCTAGTCATTTCATATAGCTATAAACAGTCTTGGGCCCAAAAAATATAAAGGAAGCCCGTTTTGTGGCCCACTCAAAACCCTTGTCCTGTATTTTTTGTGCTCGTCCGAAACAAAAAAAAAAGAGTTTCAGTCTTTTTCCCCAAAACCTCCATTGACGAAGGAAGGAAGTAAGAGCAGAAATGGCTGCGACTGTTCCTGTAATTACTCGTTCTGATCAAACTTGGGATTTTAGTTGGTATGTTCAGTATATTCTCTTACTTACGCATCTCAATCATCTTCTCTGATTTGGGTATTTTTCTCCTTAGTGATTCAGCTCTTACTTTCAAGATGTTCGTAACTCGTTTGCTTTGTATCTGATGATAGAACATACCGAATCGATAATAGAATATTGGGTCTGACTAATTTGAAGAAATTTCAATGATCTACACTCCAAAGTTTCGATTTTTACCCACATAAACAGCAATACGACCTAGTTTCTTTTCTCCTTTCAATTAGGTTAATTACGACCTGTAATACATTTGGCTTAGTGTTGCACACACACTGTTACTATAGACTTGGTGGATTTTAGTTTCTTTTCAATGGGATTTTTTATGTACAAAAGTTAGGGATTGTGTAACAGAGTTTTTCTTTTGTCCAATTTGCAGTAATTTGGATGTGAATTTCGAATCAGAAGAACATGCTTTGATTGCTTACACAGCATTGGCAGTTGATAAAGAGGTTTGAATCAATTTTTCTCAAATTCAGTCACTTGCAAGATGTGAATAAAATTCTAGTTTCACTTATATGTGACCATTATTAATGCAGTTGCAGCCTGATAAGGTGAAAAGAGTTATGTCAGTATCAAATAACAAGCTTTCTGTGTGAGTTTCTTCAACTCCTTCATCGCCTTATTTTGAATCGATCGAATCGCTTAAATCAATGGATTTCAAATTAGACATGTTTGGGTCCATAGAAAGCTTCGAGTTCGTCTACTTCTTTTACTAGTTTTGATCTTTTTTTCAACGGATCATTTTACAGACACTTTGAAGCAATAGAGGCAAGGCTTCTTCGAGCATCGTTCTCTGCGTTTGTAGATGTTCTTACGCTTGCCACAAGAACAATTCAAGAATTTGGGCAGAAGAACTGAAACATCAATGTGAAAAAGAAGTTTTGATTCTTTCTCATTACCCTTCAAGAGCTCGATTATTGTAGTGTTAATCAAACAATGTATTATCATGGTGTTACTGAATTTGAGAAGTGAAGAAAGATGATTATATATTTAAAGCTTTGGATTTGACTACA